CAGAACTTAGAATAATCTACAGTAATAACCTGTAGGCAATGATTTTATTAATTAGAGGATTTATCCAAATTAGTAAAAGAGCGAAATATCATTTCCTAGGTTGTATTTAGAGAAATAACTTTTCAATAATGAGTGAGTCAATATGTGACAGTTATAACAATTTGTAAATACCTAGCATATATACAATAAAGATATGCCATGCTGATCTGACTACAAATTAAAAAAAAATAAAAATAAAAAAAAAAAATATATATATATATATAATAAAATATAATAATTACCAATAAAAAATAAAAAATTAATAAAAACAAAATCAATTATTATTCAAATTTTAATAAATAATTTCTATATATAACTTTGACTTTATAATAGAGATTCTTATAGACAAATATAATTTTTGTATATTTTTTTGAATATATCAATAGTACCTAAGTATATTAATTCTCTTAGAGAACAATTTGTTATAGAAGTAAAGATACAAAATCCTTGCAATTGGTTTTACTATAAATAAATATATAGGAAAAAGTGTATAAAGTTTTTGTTTTATTTAAATAATATGTAATTTTATTAAGTTTAATAAAATAAATTAGTTTTATGTTTTAAAGTATACAATATATACAGTATACAGTATATAATATTATAGATATTTATTTAATATCTTAATAAAAACATATTATTATAAATATAAAATCCCAAAAAAAAATATTATTTTTTAATTTAGACTTAAAATATATAAATGAAACTGTTTTGTTTAATCTAAACTTGTTCAATAAACTTTTTTATAATTTTACAAAATAATTTAATTTTTTAATTTTGCGAAGTAACAATAGAATATTACTTAAAAGTGTTTATATGCAATTTTTTTTGTTAATTCACAATTATGCCATCATAATTAGTCTTTATTGATTAATTGAATATTTAAAAAGATTTTCTCAAGTTTTTTTTATATTGAGTACAGTATAACCAATGATCATATAAAGTCAACCAGGTGATCGAACCAAGTTAAACTAGAACACCTTGTCGACTTGCTAATGTTTCGTAGAACACAAACGCTCTTATGTCGCTTTCCCCTCTCGTGTTTAATATCGAAACAAAGAGCGCCAATATTTTTTTCACAAAAGAATTCCAAACTGGTTTATGGGAATGTGAGAAATTACAGTGGAATCTCTCAACTTCAAGATACCATTTATGCGCTGTCTACAGCACAAGGTAAAGCCGGGATCGCGGTTATTCGAATTTCTGGTCCTAAAGCCTCACAGGTTTGTTTTGGATTCTAATGTATAGTTAATTCTTATAGTCATTAAAAGTTGTGCTTTGTAGGCAATGGCGAAAATGACATCGAAATTATTTCCAACACCCCGCAGGGCCACAGGAAGAGTTATTATTCATCCAATCACTGGCGAAATTCTTGATCACGGGTTGGTCTTGTGGTTTCCAGGTAAATCACAATAAATTATAGAATAATGATTTAAATGTGCTTAGATCTGTTGATTACATTTAGGACCGGGTAGTTATACCGGAGAAGATGTTGTCGAGTTTCAGATACATGGTGGTACTTCCGTAATAAGAGGCGTGTTAGATGCGCTTGGTAGCATTGATGGTTTTAGGCATGCCGAGCAAGGTGAATTTACTCATAGGTATGACAAACTAGCAGATTAACAGCGATCTCATTAATTAAATAATTTACATAATTGGACATTAAATAGGGCGTTTGATAATGACAAGCTCGACCTGACAGAAATCGAAGGACTTGCTGACTTATTGAATGCTGAGACAGAGGCGCAAAGGAGACAGGCTTTACGACAAGCCAAAGTATGAGAAGCATGAAATTTTATACTTTATCACAACACTACATACATTCTTAACATCACCTTTCTTAATATGTAAGGGAAGTTTGAGGAATATGTGTGATTCTTGGCGACAACAACTTATTGAAAATTTGGCACTTGTAGAAGCCGTAATCGATTTTGGCGAAGATGAAAATATTGAAGAAGGAGTATTGGAGCAAGGTATTAAATTAATTTGTTCGACATGATTGATGATCGATTATTCTTTTTTCTCAACTTTACTAATATACTTGAAGTGAAAGAGAAAACAAATCATTTAATGAATATTATATATAATCATATGAATGATAATCGTCGAGGTGAAATTATGAGAGATGGCATACATGTAACAATCATGGGTCCTCCTAATGTTGGAAAGAGCAGCTTTCTAAATTGTTTAGGTAATGCTTAGACACCGCAATTTTACTCGTATCTTTTTGTGATACAATCAGTAATTTCATTGTGATTTCGCGGTTTAGTTCAAAGACAAGCAGCTATTGTGTCTCCCATTCCTGGTACCACAAGGGACGTGATTGAAACTTTCTTGAACATTGGTGGCTATCCAATTGTTATTGGGGATACTGCCGGCTTGAGACAATCGGGTGATGCTATCGAAATGGAAGGGATTGCAAGAGCCAAGCATCGGTAATTTACTCGATTGTTAAACCGCTTTATTTAATTACCACTTTTCTTTTTTAAATTTCT